AGCAATGTAGAGGTGACAGAAACAGAGTAATTGTGGCAAGGACTGCATCAGAGAGAGAGAAGGCTGCCTTCATTTTGCAAAGTGCTGATGGAAGAAATGCTTTTGGCTTCAACCACTTCCTGTGCATTCAGAAGCATCTGGGATCTAACACCCCTAAATTGTGCACCTGTTGGAGTCAGACAGTAATATATGAGGTTTTTGCATCCTAGCGGGGGTTCTGGAGTGCATTTTCTGAATTCTATTGGGGAATGTCTCCCTGAGCTACTCTGAAACCTGTCCTTGAGCTTAAGCAGCTGATTGTCACTGTCTATATCATAAAGAAAGACAGATTTCTTTATGATATAGACTTCATTAAATGGGCAACACACCATAGACAGCTTAGCACGAACTCTTTTTTAAATTAAATTACATATAATAGAAGTGATAGGCCCTAAACAAGGATTTAAAGGCAGTCATTGGAGAGACACCCCACACACATTCCTAACACCTGTTTTCCAATTAGCTTGCTGCTCCCTTGTGGGGGGAAAGTTGTTACGAGAGACAGTGTGCTCAGAGTATTTTTGTTGTATCTTACTAGTTACATGAAGGTATCTGGCACAAATCCTAAATCTTTTACCTGCACCTGAGTTAAGCAGGTGTAGCTGAGCTGAGTTGGGCTCAGAGCCTTAAAACACATGGTAATTGCTGTTTAGATACTGGGCCAAGAAGCTCTGTATATTTGAGAGTTGCTCTGATTATCATGTCAAAGCTGTTCAGCTGAATGAAGGGAATATGGCCAGAGAACTTGCTATTCTGTTTTTATTTTGGTTTGACTAGGCAAATTTAAACTCCCAGGGAGGGTTTTTGCTGCTTAACCTAGGAGTCTGCTGAATTTCTGTTCGGTTGCACTGATCTTAACCTTACTCCATGCGCACCCTCCAACATTTGAGAGAGAGAGAGACCACTACTGTACATAAGTGAGTGACTCTTGACTCAGCTGTAAGGGGCACAAAGCCTGAAAGTTCATAATATTTTGTCTCCAAGACTAACTTGTCTCCATCATCTTGGTGTCTGGAGTCCTACTACTGCTTCCAAACATGTTATCTGCTGCAGAGCTGCAGAATTCACTAGAGTCATGATTCCAGGCCAATGGAAGGTCTTTTAGGAATGACTGTTACAAGTTCTAGGTAGGATATTTATTGCAAATGGCGTTGAAACAATGTTGAGGTCATTTACTACTATAAACAGATTTTTTTTCGTGTCATACAGGCACAGTATAGTCCAACTAGATATATTCTTATCTCGTTATCAGTCCCTGTGCAGCATGCTGTTGTTTTATGTTGTGCAGTGTTTTGTTTATTTTTTTTTATCAAAATGTAGGGGTGTTTTGGTAGCAACTTTTTAGAATTTCGTATCCTTGTGTATATGTCTATTTTGTTTTACAAATATGGCAGACTAAACGGCCTGTGCAGCTTTATAAGCATAATCGGAAGTGCCATTTAAATCAAAATGAATTTTAGTAGTAGCAGATGAATATAAGCATGATGTTTTCCAGGCAGTGATGATATTTCCTTATGCACTAATCTTTTGTCTTTACTGTTACTTGATTAGAACATGTAAAAACATGTAACAAGTAACTTTAAAACACATTGTGTAAAACAACACTTCCCATTTTCATTGTACGTTTTCCAGCATACCCTTTTATTCTTCAGAATTCATGCTTTCATTGACAATGGATTTTTGTAAGCCCATATAAGATATTGTAACAGCATTTCCCAGTAATGTAGAAGAGCAAGCAAGCAGTGTATGATTCATAATTCTCTACTTGTTACAAAGAAAATTCATGCTTCTCATCTAAGTTTGGATTTTAAAGTTCTTATTTATAAAAGCAGTCATTTTCCAGTCCTTTTTTGATGTACTGGAACATTCTCATTGAGGGGCCAGAAACATAGATTTTCACTTTAAATTACCATTGTTCCTGTTCTCTGCCATTTTTGCCCTGTAGCGTTGGTTGACATTTCATAGAGAGTGAGCCGGCATAGGGCTGGAAAATATATAATTATAAGAATCATCTGCTCTTGATTTTCCCATTACATACCAATCATGATACAGGCAGATTTTTCATAGGTGTTTGATTTGGAATGAGAAGTTTTATTCGTTGACCTGTGATTAAAATGTGGCATTTTGGTAAATAAATTGAAGATAGCTTCTGCATAATTCAGCTCTGATCTGGTGCTGGGAAAGGCAATGAAAGCCTTTGACCTGTATCACATAAGCAGCAACATATGTAATAGGAAATATATTCTAAGATAAAAAACTGTGTAACACAATACACTTTTTTAATGTTAGATGTCTTAAAACAGGCATAATGCAGAAATGAAGCAAAATGACTGACATCAGGTGGCAATATAAGTGAAGTCTTGTTTCACCCTATACCCTGTGAAAGACTTCAATATAATAATAAGGTTAAAGCCATAGAGTAACTCATTTAACTGCTTTAGTAGCTATAGACACATATGTAAACACATTAGCAATTACTGTTAAAAATGGTAAGACTAGAGAACCTATTTCTAAATTAAAAATATAAATCATTATTATGGTAACAGACTAGAGACAAATCTGTTCTAAAATCAGTATTATTTTGGACAAGAGTCTTGCATGTCGCATTAACCTGAGTAGGTGTTAGTGGTTGGTTGGTACATATTCATGTACATGTTATCCATGGACTAGGCACACAATTCCTGATTACAATATGAGCCTGATCCTATTCTCATAGACTTCAGTGTTAGTAGGATTGAGCCCTATGTGTGTACATTTTGTGGGTATTGAACTGAAAAGATACTCCTTAAATATCCAGTTTTCCTTACAATATTCCATGGACCAAATACTTTCTAGCCACTTGATGTAGTTCACCCGTCTATGCATATTACTTATGATTCATATGTATGATTCATATGTAATGATTCGTATGTACTGTTTTTATACTGATGTTTTGGAAATAACAGACCTAACAATAATACTTAACACGTAGCATACTGCTAACATTAACATCCGAAGAAACCACAAATGTAGGATATAATGAGATCAATAAACAATTAAGCAATTCTTGAAGATATTAAAATGATCTTCCAAAATGTACAGTAAATCACCTATTATATGACCTTCCATACCAGAACAGAGCAAAAATATAAATGGGCTAGCAAAAGTATAATTCAGGTGCATTGTATCAGTATCTTTAAAACCTTGGCATAGTGTGTTTTAATTGTAAACTAAAGGGAGGAAATAAATATTGCCTGTTTTTAAAACAATGTTAAAATATTTGCCTTTGCCATTGAGAACACACATTCTGCAAGTGAATGTGAGAGTAGGATTAAAAAAATGCCAAAGTAAGTACATCTTTAGTCAAGATATCTGTGTATCAAACCTGTGAAGTAAAAATGGTAAAGGCTGATTTCTACTGATGCTTATGTAATATTCCTTTTCTTTTATGTTTCAAATTAATTTCAACACAAAACTCCCACCCTCCATTGACCAAAGTCTCAATATTCAGAAGATCATTTTGGAATGAATGAAGGTGGGGTCAGTTGAAAGTGTAGCATGATGTCCAAGAATTCTTAACTTACAGGAGGCCAGGGTATCCTGCTTGAATAGAGAAACTATATAATACTATATTATTCAATAAATATCCAATAAAATATCTCTATATAAAAATTGTGAACAAGAAATTTCTAATGAGAAAGAACTGGGGCAGGAGGGGAAGAGAGTTTTAAAATAAATTTGATGGGAAATGTTTTCTGCAAGCAAGGCTAAACCATTTGGCTATAAATTATGTGGATGAACAAATAATCTGTTTCTATCTGTTAGACACTGATGGAAGTATTATCAGCCTCATCTATAAATCATGACAATAATCTTTTTTCTTCAAAAATGGTTTACAGTCGAGTTTAACATTCTTTCTCTCTGGTCACTGATTCCTTTTTGGTAGTCCTGTGACTGTGGGTTTTCTGAAAGCACACAAAGTGATATGTTTTTACTGTTTGCTTGTAAGTTCACATACTATTTTATGTACCCTTATTTCAGATGTTTAAAAAATGCATAAGGATGAAATTCTTCTTTTAAATATCTGAGTACGTATGTGGAGTAACTAAATGAAGTAAATAGAATTACTCTGGTTTTCCATTGGTGTAACTGAGAACATAATTTGAGCCTCAGTATACAGTAGGACTGGGATTTTCAAAGGAGACTAAGGGAGTTAGGTGTATAAAACTGCGATTGAGTGCCTAACTCCAATAGTCTCCTTCGAAAACCCCAGTTTAGGCATTTAAGTAAGAATTTGCATAGTTTTTTGCAACGATTTCATAGTTTTTTGAGGAGCCAATTTGTTAGGAGTTAGATATGTCAGTTTGACTAGTGGAACACCATTGCTTTCATATGTTTCAGAGAAGAATTAAATCAACACCTTATTTTACTTTTAATGGAGGGCCAAATTCTGCTCTCTGTTATGCTGGTGTCCTGAGTAACTCCATTGAATTCAGTGCAGTGATTCAGAATTTACACTGTTATAATAGATAGAGTTTGTTCCATTAATTATTTTAAAAATATAAAGATTTTATTAAATTAGCAACATATCCTAATTATCCTATGCTAAATATAGAGGCAATACAAAGACTGCAGA